GCATAAAGTCAGAAGTGAACGTAATAGGAATTTTCTACCTGCGAGTTTAAAGTTCTTAATCTCGAGTGCACTTCCAAACATCCAATACCTATGCCCATTCTTTAGCGCTTGCCTTAGGGAATATAACAAGAGTGGCCTTACGTTGCACTCCATCACTCGCACTTACACAGCATAACTTAGCCTTAAGTTGAAATTGAAGAAGCCGTTTCAAATTTAACTGTCATTTTTTGAAACCAAAAAAATTTGTGTTTTATGTTACATCTAGCTCTTTAAAAGTGAATCGATATGGGAGAAGAAATCTTTTTTCGTTTACTCTTCTTCTATCAGTTTACATTACTTGTCTTTTAGGATCCTGATGGCTTGCGATCGTTCTATTACCTTGTCCAGGATCTGAAATGCCTAGTTTTTTCTCTGATTGGTCTTCATTTTAAGATCAAGCCCATCTAAGCCCGTTTTTGGATTAATGTAATGGAGCTGTTCAATTGTCTTTATTTCTAAGTTATTTTTACATGTTCGATTTGATTAATTCAGTGTTGCTGTTAATTTTTGATTTCAAGCTTGAACACATGTATTTCGTTGTTATAAACGAATTGCGATTTACTAATCCATGACAAATTTATCCGTAAAAATCGTAGTCTACAGAGCAAAAATGTGACGCAAAATTAATGTGATGTTTTTACAACACTGGGCGAATTTGCAAGATTTTTTGAGAAGAAAAAATAATGCATAGTGATTTAATGAGTCCTCCTAACGACGATCACAATATTTGGCGATGTATTCACGGGCACGATGTGTGAACTGTTCACGATTTGTCGACCATAATTGTGCGGCTTGCATGTTGAGTGCATCGTCAAAGTCGATTAGATCGGTAAACAAAGAGGAGAGCCCGTGGATTACCTGAAAGTACATACAAGCATACCACTAAAAAATAATAAAACGAAAGTTCATTAGTGCAAGAAGTGAATGTTACTGAGCAATTTGGTAAGACCTCACCTCAATTGATTTAACTGCATAAACAAACTTAGATTAAAGAAACAGATTCAGTTCCTCTAACGTGAAACGACTGACTGATATACCTCAGTAAGATTCCTTGTCGGCCGCCAACCAAAAGCATCGAGCGAGTTCTCACGAAGTATAGACAGGCAAATGCTGCCATCTTCGTTGATATTTGGGTGAAAAACTCGAGTTAAACACTTCACGGTGGGAGGCTAAATCAAAGTTAACCTCATTTGATTTCTATTGATTGCACTTCGATTACTTACAACATTGTTGTACTCAGGCGGAACAGAAATCGAAAATTTGAAAACGCCACCTCGATAGATGCCTTCTTGCGGACATACAGTAAGAACCTAAAATAAATCACTACAAATAATTGATTGGGGATTGGATAAGCGCTAAGACATTGAGGGAATTTTCATACTAATATGCAAAAATCAATAGCCTATAGTGGTATATTGCAAATGTTATATAAAAAGACATGGGATGGTGTGACAAGTTTTCATAAATTCGCACATACGCCCCCTTGTAACTTCTAGAAGCTTA